CACACACACACACACAAATCTCTTGTGTTTTTCAACCTAGAAATCAGTCTCTCTCTCCCTCTCTCTGTCTCTCTCTCTCTCTCTCTCTCTCTCTCTCTCACACACACACACACACACACACACACACACACACACAAACGAAATAAGAGCATCACAATCATTTCCTACTTATATTAAGTGGGGTAAACTCTGATGCTACTTTCCATATTCATTGTCTTTATATTTTTATTTTGTGATCAAATCAATAGATAACGTAAAGTTAGCTATTTTAAAAAGCCTCTTCAGAGGCATTTATGATATTTGCACTGTTGTGCAGCCATCACATCTATCAACTTCTAAAACAATTATCATCACACAAAAAAGAAACACTGTATCTATTAAGCATTTATTACAACTTCCCTCATTCCCATGTTAGAAAATATAAATTAGATTTCCAGCTGTATTTGTTCAGATAATATTTAAAAGTAAAATTGTACAAATATGGCCTTTTATGTTTGGCTTCCATGTTAGTATGCAATGGCACTGTGTTACTACTTACAGAGTTAAACTGACAGTTCACCAGTGGGCCCTTTACATCCTCTATAAGTCCATGTATATGCCATGCTCTCCTTCCAAGCACAGACTTCAACAAATTTTATTTCTCATTCACAATGAATATCTCTGGAAGCTCTTGACTCCTCTATATTGTTGAGGTCCTCATTCTTTTAACTGAATTATTATACTACAATGATTATAATTAATATTGGTGGCTCTCTTCTGTTCGCACTACACTTAATTTCCCAGGTAGTGACATATAATATATTATATTATATCAGATTATAGACATTATCAAATATACACACCACTAGTAGGCCTGATATTGTGCCATAATTATCTTTGCCATCCTCAAGGTGTGAGTAAGCTTACAATATCATGAGACTCTGGTAGTACTGATTCAAAACCATCACTTTCTCCACACATCAAATTAATCATGAATAATAATAACTTGAAATTTCTAGATGTATATCTTAGATATCACTTTGAGTAATAAGAACATCTATAACACTCATCTTAATTAAAGGTGATCCTCTTTGGAAGAACATTAAACACTTTTTGCAAATATATTTGACAATTGTGAATTTTTCTAATTCTTCCGTATTTTTAATATTTATTAGTAAGATCTCATATCAAAATACCTGAAAAAAAGTACCTGAGAGTGAAATGAAATGTAACTCAAAAAAAGCAATAATGAGAATACTTATGAAAGTATCTATTACCCAGAAGAGGGTTGCCTGGAAATCCTGTGTTTGATTATTTAGGGTTGAATATCCAAGAAAATGTCAAAAAATTTGGTGGATTGATTTTATTTTTTGAGATACAGTCTCACTATGTGGTTCAGGCAGGACTTGTACTCACTATATAGTCCAGGCTAGGCTCTAACTCCAGGCCAGCCTCTATCCTTAGCCTTCTCCATGCTGGGATTACAAGAGTATGCAACAACACCCAGCAAATAATTGGATTATACTCCATTAAAGAAATATTCTTCGGGTCGGTAAGATATCTCAGGGGACTAAAGTGCCTGCTTAGGCAACCTTAGGAAAGCGCAGGGCTCAATCCCCAGCACAACACGCTGTGCTGGCCCTGCCCCCAGGGCTGGCTGAGCAAGCCAGATACCAGATTGGCCTAGTGGCACATGTCTGTAATCCCACCACTGGGGAGATGTAAAGCAGGAGAATCATCACAAATCTGAGCTGAGTAGTGAGACCCTGCAACAACCAAATACATAAAAAGGAAAAAAAAAAGGTGTTCTTAATTTTCTCAGTTTTGTTTTACTGCTACATGGAAACAGTTTAGATTTCATATTTTATGGCAATAGAGTTTTGTTGCATAATCAACAAAAAGAATAAGAGTCACAATTACCTTAAAAGCAATATTCTAAATGACAAATACCTGGAAAATGTATTTGCTGAAAACAAATATAAATGGAACTAGTGCCACACTACATGAAGTATTAACCTGCTTCAGCATAAAGTTTTAATGCTGGTTATATTTGAAATAAATTTCAGAGATTTATATATACTTTTAGAGACCATAAATTGAATTTAGGGAAGTATGAGCTTTCTTTTACTTCCCCTAAAATTTTCATCTCTAGTATATGAGCAATTTGTCAACCAAAATAACAGAAGCAGAAGAAAGGATGATCTTCAGTGTATCTTTTACATTATATATTCATAACTAAATCAAAGGCATGTACTTGCAACTTGTTTGTTTAAACAAATGCAAGGGTGCCAGACAGCAACATTTCAACTTCAATAAATCTCCAGATGTTCTTGAAACTGATCTAGACATGAGAAAATGTTAAAATCATGGGGCTTGAAGTTGAAATACAAATCACTAAATGAGTTAAAATCTGCAGTATTGCATTAAATATGTGCATCAAATTTGCATATCAATGATATTTGAACATTTTCTTATAGTAGTGCAAATACCTAGTTTGATGACATTTTGTTTATAATTTTCTATGTTATGACTTATGAAAAAATGTATTTCCTTTAAATATACAAAGTAAAGTGAAATATGCTGGCCCCTACCAGTAATCCTAGCCCTTTGGAGACTGAGGCATGAGGGTTACCACTACTTTGAGGGCATGAAGGCTTCAAAGGGAGTTCAAAACCAGTTTGAAATGTGTAAGAACATTGTGCTTCAGAAAACTAATATTAATATTAATACTGATACTACTATTAATAATAATAATAATCATAATCATAATAAGTGGTAAATGTCAGCCCAAAAAAGGTGGTAAATTATTTAATTAAAAACATGGTTATTTTATTGAAATTATTTTTCAAGTCTCTGGAGAAATAAGTTTATTAATTATAGATTTGTTCAATTTGAATTTGAAAATTATGAAACTAATATATAATATTGTTTTTAAGGTGAATCATTATATGGATCATATTGTATAATAAGAAAATTATTTATTTGAATCAGCTTCTTTTAATGAGTTCAGTTCTATTTAGCAAATAATTCTATTTTTTCAGTCAAAGGATCCTAATATGAAAATTAATAATATAGATTTCTTGATGAATCTTTTTTTTTTACTTATTTAGTTGGTATAGGGTCTCCCTACACAGCTCAGACTCCTAGTGATTCTCCTGTCTCAGCCTCTCCAGTGTTGGGATAACAGGTATATATCACCATGCCTGATTTCAGTCCCCAGCACAGTGCAGGCTGGAACAGCATGCAGTACATGGGATCCACTCTGGGTCCTTGTGCTTGCTAGACAGGTGTTGAGACTACTGAGTTATCTCCCTAGCCAAGTCTCCCATTTTTATTAAAGATTTGCAATGTAAATAATTTAATCTTAATTATTTTGGAATATAAGCATGTAACAGTACAGCAATATATAAAGGCATCTGCAAATCCTTAAAACTATTGTATTGTGATTCAATCTTTCAATAGTACAGCAAGATCCAAAGCTCTTAGTAATTATGGTTGATTGATAAAAGTGAGCTCCTTTGATTAGTTTGTGTTTTAAGCATAAGTAGAGGACGTATTTTTTAGCATTTGCTCATTATCAGTTGAGATTTTGTGATTATTGTGGATGGATATTTTGTAAACTTAATGCCATTATTGCTTTTAGACTATTTTACCATTGTTGGCTAGGTTTAAACATTATAAAATACTGAATAAACATTGTTCATTAAAGTACATTATATTCAAATATCCAATATGCAATAACATTTGTTCTCCACAATAAAAATAGAGATTATGTAATTTATCTAAATGTTATTTATTCACTACATAACTTTTTTTTTATTTTGATACTCATAAAAGTCATATTAGCTTCCTGAGGCTATCAAATCAAGCACCATGAGGTGCTAAAGAAAGTATTAAAGTATTTTCTCACAATTTTGGAGGATAAAATTTCAAAATCAAAGTATCACAGATATTCTATAATTGTATTAGTCATTTTGACTAGTTGGCATATATAGGAGTTGGGCTGCATTTACTTGTTAATATTTTTAAGTAAAATAATTTAATTTTTGAACTTCTTGTCATGTAATCAGAATAAACACGATATTTCATAAAGATGTACAATTATTATATGTCACCTTGTCTTTTGGGAGGATATAATTCCACAAGTATCAGTCAGGTTTATGGAATTATCACTGAACAGCTTTTTAAATACCAGTAAATGTACTCTGTTTTTCCTCCTAGGCATGCCACTCAGACTATTCCCTTATATAATCCTACACATGAAACTTTAGAATTGCAAGTAAGAAACAGTAATCCTGAAAATTTTGTCCTGGAAATAAATGAAATATCACAAGTAAGTACATTCTTTCACAACATTTCTAATTCTTATTTTAAGACACCTATGGAGTATTATCATTTGGATTACTAGCAAAATTTTAGATCTTCAAAACTTAAACATAAACTTTTCTCTTATATAATTTTCCCCCATGAAATTTAAACAATCATGACAACAGTATCATGCTTAGTTTGAAACTTTTGAATATATGTGGGGAAAAATGCTCGTTATCACTAAATTTTAAATGAGCTGTGTCATAGTCAGAGTTTGCAAGAGACAAAATTTAGTATACAGCACAAAATTTATAGGCTTGGTTTTTATTTATTTTCATTTTTTCCATAATTTTATTGAGACACAAATAGCAATGAGACAGTTTCAAATTAAATTGGTAGGACAGTTTCAATAATTAACACATTGCATACTCTCAACCTAGTGGTTATTCGCTGTACAAGATGCACACAGGATATCCTACTTTCAAACACTATTAGAACAAATCCCTCTATTCATTAGGAGAATGTAACTATATATCTGTCCTAACTATTTTGAATACACAGATACAAAATTGACATTCATCTGTATTCCCTTTTTTTGTTCAGTTCTGTCACTTGAATATTATAGGTGTGTGAACTCAGCAAAATATTCTAAAAGCATCTAGTAGTCTGTAATAGTATTGGGTCTTCCTCTTGACTGGCAGTGTCAGAAACTGTTGACCTGGGTCCCCTACAGCTCAACATAACAGCATGGCTTTACTTCTTATAATTCGTATTTATACTTTTCTGCTGGATGGTTAAAACCAAGATAAAGCAAAACCTATGGACCAGTATGTGCTACATTTTAGAAAACGACCCATGTGCATCTCAGGAAAATGTATTCAGCTGTGATTGGGTGGAGCACTATTTATATGTCTAGCAAGTCCATTTGTTCCAATCTCTGGTTCAATTCTGATATTTCTTTGCTAATTTTGTGTCTGGTTGGCTTTTGCTTTTGGGATAAGGGTGTGTTAAGTTCTACTGTTAAGATTGTGGAATTGGACGTTAGATTTCTCATGTCCATTATTATTTGCTTTATATAGTTTGGTGGTCCTGTATTTGGTGCATACATATTTATGACTGTTACATCTTCCCCTTGTGTTTTTCTCCTAGCCAGTATATAGTGGCCTTCTTTATTTCACTTGATCATTCTTGATTTGTCATTGAGACTGTCTGAGAATAGGATTTCTACCCCTGCTTTTTTCTGAGGTGCTGGGGCATGTAGTATTGTTTTCCATCCTTTGGCTTTCAGCCTATGAATGTCTTTATGAGTTACATGTGCTTCTTGTATACAGCATATTTTTGGATATTGTTTCCTAATCCACTGTACCAGCCTATTTCTCTTAAGTGGTGAATTGAGTCCATTTACATTGATGGTTAGAATTGAGATGTATTGACTTATGGTTGACATGTTATTTACCTGTTGTCCTTTACTCCTTTTTCTTGTGTTTAAATGCTTGCCCTATTTAGTTGTTTGCTTCTGATCTCATTCGTGGAGTTCTGATCATTTTGGTCCATCACTAGAACATCTTTCAGTGACCTGTGTAGGGCTGGCTTTTTCATCACGAAATTCTTTAGCTGTTCTTTTTCATGAATGTATTTCACTTCTCCATCAAACTTGAAAGAGAGTTTTGCAGGGTATAGTAGTCTGGGCTGGAATTTGTTTTCATAGAAGACTTGAAGTACTCTGGTCCATGCTCGTGTTGTCTTCATAGTTTGTAAAGAGAGTCAGCCATAGTTCTGATGGGTTTTCCTTTGAATGTGATCTGCTTCTTTTCTCTAGCATCTTTCCGTATATTATTCTTGTGCCGAATTTCTGGGATTTTGACTATTACATGTCTTATTGTGTTTTCAATTGGGTTGAAGTTACTTGGCATTCTGTATGCTTTGGTTACCTGAATGTGAGAAAGTTTCCTCACATTTGGGAAGTTTTCTGCTATTACTTCGGCCCATATTTTTTTTAATGTCATTTGCATTGACTCCTTTTTCATTGATGCCTATTAGTCTCACATTGTTCAACTTTGTTTTGTCTTGCAAGTCATGAATAATTTTTTTTGCATCCTAGCTGTTTTCAAGAGTTGTTTTGATACCTTTTCACTAGCAACACCACCATCTTGAAGATCTGAAACTCTGTCTTCACTTTCACTCAAACGGTTTTGCAAGCTTATGATTGAGATTTTTAAGTTCCTCTATATCTCTTTGACTCTGCTTCATGCGATCTATTTCCTTCCTCTACTGCTCATTCAAGGAATCCGTTATTTTTCTAATCTCCATTTTTTTTATCAATGTCTCCTTTAGAAGCAGTTATTAATTCTTTTACTGTAGTGTTTTATTCAGATTGGGTTTCCTCCCTGTTTCTGTATTTGATTCTCTACTGCATATGCTATTAATTCAGGAATTTATTTTTGCATTTCCAATCTGAGTTCCTCTATACCTTTATGCAGTTGTTTCTCTATTTAGAAGCTGTTGATTAATTGATTTCAGCTGTTTGATTTCCAATTTGTTCTGTGTTAGTGTCCTCTGCTCTTTTTATGGGTGGTCTTTTGGTCTGAGATTGCATTTTGCTCTTTCTTGTTGTCATTTTGTATAGCACTGTCTTCTGACCTTAGTTGTAGAATTTTGGTGGTTATAACCTTAACATCTACTGAAATTCAGGTGCAGATCTACAAAGCTTGAATTCATCCAGCTCTGCCTGGATGGGGTCTGTCTTCTGTGCTCTGCTCCTTCCTGCTGCCACCCTTGGGAGTGAACCTGTTGTGCCCGTCTGGCAAGATGTTCTGCTCCTGGACTAACTGGGTCATTGTGTTCCCTACTCTCTCTGCAGGAACAGCAGCTTCACAGTTTCACCCAAGGCCTGTATGCCAGCCCTGAGATGAGTCTGAAGTGGCCAAGGTGGAGTTGGGTGGAGAGGCAGATCTACCACATACTCATGGGCCCTGGGCTAGGCCTGGATCTGGGAGTCCTGAGAACGTGGCAGACTCTTCAGTCTCTTGACAATTCTGACCCACCTCCTCCATTCTTGTCTCTACCTCAATTCCTCACATTTGTGCCCTGGCAAGAAATAGAGTCAAAGCAAAGGGCCCAAATTACTTTTTTTTTCTTTCTTCAAGTAACAAAACTAGATATTACATTCTAACATATCTACCTATCTCCAAATATGGGGCCCAATTATTTGCATTGAAGGAGAAACCACCTAACTTTAGGTAAACATCAAAATGATAATTTCAGGCTGGGCAGGGTCCCACAGGCCTATTGTCAGAGGTTAAACCTGGAGGGTCCCCTGGGTCTATGAGTTCAAAGCCAACGTGGAAAAAGAAGCAAGATCCTGTTTTGGGAAAATGATGAAAATTATAATTTCCACAATTTACCGTCATCATAAAACCTTATAATAAATCATGGGGTTCTATTAACAGATGTGACATTTAAATTAAGAGTTTACTATCTAGTCCTGAAGGACTGTTTAACACATTATGTGTCAAAGTACACATGCAAGTTTGCCTTATTCACCACTGTATTTTGCTTATATTATATGGCACATAGGATTCAGGATGTATATATAACATGAGTAAGTTGTGTTTTCATAATTTTTATGTTTGTTTTTTTAGAGCAGAGTTTAATCTGTGGTCTAATTGAAAACAAATGCAATATATTTCATGTCAATTTAAGAAGACAGACTCTCTTATCCTGTCTATGCATAGTTTTTAAAATCTATTATCTGTGTATCTATCTATCTATCTATCTATCTATCTATCTATCTATCTATATCTATCTATCTATCTATCTAAATATCACCTTTTATCTATTCATGTATTTAATTTTCAGTACTGGTGATTGAGTATAGGGTCTTCACACTGAACTACATCCCCAGACTTTTTACATTTTATTCTGAGAAAGGGAATTACTAATTAACTAAGTTGTCCAGATGGGACTCAGATTAGAAGTCCTCTTTTCTCATCCTCCCAGAAGTCTGAGATTATAAGCAATTCAGTACCACAAGTGTGAAGTTCCACATATGACTTTACACCATTCATATTTTTATTATTATGATATATTGAATATGTAATTAAGTCTCATGTTAGGTACAAATTAAAAGTTACATAGAAAAATGATTTTCCATAATAGGAAATAGCAATATAATTTAAAAAGTGAATAACAAATGTAAATTATATCAAATACAAAATATTACATAAAACAATTTAAAATGCATAAATAACATGTATTTGTATAAATATAAGTGCATATACATGAGGATTTGTATACACGAAATTTTATTCTTGGCTTTTTTTAATAGTATTTGTTTAATAAATGAATATAAATTGTGTATAACGCAAGTGATGATATACAGTCTTGTTTAATTATAAGTACATGCTGAAAATTTCAAATATAAAGATCTTCAAAGAATAATACAATAAACAACTTTATGCCTTTCACTTATGCCTTTCACTTATGCTCATGAATTCTTTTTTTTTTTTTTTTTTTTTTTGCGGAACTGGGAATTGAACTCAGGCCCTTGTGCTTGCCAAGGAAGTACTTATTCCACTTAGCCATCTCCCTGGCCCCTGTTCATGAATTCTTAATGGTCCATTACATTGTCTCTGTCCCTATTTACTCTCTTTTATCCTCACTGTTGAACTGATGGTCAGTTGTAGGCCTTTCGGGTTATTTTAATCTAAAGTCTAACGTATCTCTTTTATATTTGTTTGTTTGAAACAACGTCCTGATATCTAGCCAGTGCTTACCTTGGATTTTCAGCAATCTGCAAACCTCTGCCTTCTATGTGCTGGAATTACAGGCATGTGCCACCATTCCTGGCTCAAATTGTGTCTTTTAAAATCATATTATTCTCCCATTGTCTCATACCCATGTGAATTCTGATTCACTCAACTATCAACATAAGATCTTTCCCTCTTGAACAAGGATTCAGTGTAAATCCACTCGTTACAATTAGTTATGAGGAGACTTCAATAAAACGTTTAAAAGTTTCAAAAATAGTCGTACATTTAATGTATTCAGTATACCTTATTACAAAAAGCAGTAGAGCTACTACAATTAAATTCTTAAAAATATATTTATCTTCTTGCGACATATGTTCTTTATGATGGTGAATTTTAGGTACAAGTAAATCTTGAATATTGTGATGCTGCTTGATTGTATACACTAGTTCAATTTTTCCCAGGTCCCTAAATGATATGTTTATAGAACAGGAATTTGAATATATAGAGGCATCAACATTAAACTAAATGATTAGTAAATTCTTTTAATTAACTGAATTAAAATCTAAGGGAATGTAGCAGATTGTTTCCTTCTTTCTCCCACTTTCCCTGTCTCTCTTTCTCACCTTGTGTCTCTATAGAGAAAGACCTTTGTATATACACAGAGATATATCTACATCCTCATCTCTCTATATCTACAGAGACAAAAAACTATTTTTCATATATGCTAAGTTGAAAGGCTATGTGGAATTCATTTGCTTGCTAAGGGTAATGATGAAACTAATTTGCATTTCTGAAACATTTATTAACTGATAAATTCCAAACAATGAATGATTAAAGAGAACACCATCATGAGATAAAATTATTTGCTCTAGATAAACTATGCATATTTAATCAGGAGGTGACTCCACTGAATTCAGGAAAGCAAATTTCCATTTGCATTTTGCATTTATATTTGCGCTTTATTGAACACTAAGTGCTGCATTTTACAAAGATAGAATGATGTTACAAACTTGCAATTTTCCTTTTTTAAAGTTTATTTCCAAATGTATTACTATAAAACAGTGAATTGTTTTTCAGACAAACAAATTACCTGGTTCTTCTATTATTCTGCAAGTGTTTATATCAAACACTGTTTTATTTCCAGTGTAGCATTTTGTTTACAAGCTTTCATTGTATCTCTATAGAATCATTGGCTTCTTTCACTATATCTACCTGAAGAACAAATTCAAACTCATAGCATATGTACTAGCTGGTTACACATTGGTATGTATAACACATGAGTAAGAAGAAAACTTTAGTGTACACTAAAGAATCATGCCTTCCGTTCATACTTCAAAATAGTTCATTTTTTAGTATAACCAGGGCTACAATTTAGGTTTCTGGTTGCTTGACATATACCATGTAATGATGAACTATGGGCTTTTAAATAAAAAACACATTTTGGCAGATTTAGGAAGATATAATCCACTTTTAAGCCTGATTTAATAGTATATAACCCAGTTTTTAATACTGACTTGCTTTACACTGTGATTTCATTCACTTTATCTGAGGGAAAATCATGGCATAATTACCAGATATGGGCTATTTTATCATTGCTTGATTACTTCTACCTCCTTGCTCAGGAAAAATACCTGAAAATGAAAATAAAGGAAGGAAACATTGATTTAGCTCACAGTAAAAGTTTCAGTCCATAATCAGATGGTTCCAAAGTAGGGTGGATGGCAGAGGGGCAACAGTTTAAGGTGACAGAAGACAGCAAAAGCGACAAGAGCCAAAGGGGGGAAGAACAAGCCTTTTTCCTCGCTTATATTGCAGGGCCAAAACCCACCGTAATGGTAGGTGTAACACTCACCTTATTTCTGTGCCTTCCTCTTACTCAGGCCCAAGATGTGTACAAAGGAAGGATCGTGGCCCCCTGCTGAGTCATTAGTTAAACTTCTAAACTTCTCAAATTGACACAATGAACAACATCCTAGAGTGATAAGGGAATGTCCTCCACACTCTAGGACACATAACTGTTGTGTTGCTTAGTTAAGCTTCTAGACAGATGTTGACATATTGTATCAACCATTAAAATCACAATTCAAGAAGGTTTACTGACAAAAAATATAGGCAAAGCCACACAATTTATCACACAAACATCAACTTTATATATACCTAGCACAGAAAGATGCCACCTGAAGGAAAACTGTTGACTTTTCTCTTTTGCTCCTTTTCAAATTTATATAGCTAATTATAGATCCTCACTCTACCAAAGAGGTGACTGTTTACTTTTACCCTTCTGCACTTGGAAGAGCTGGTCATGAAACATGTATCAACTTCTACTGTGCTCAGGTATGATAACAGTATTCTTGGACTAAATTAAGCTAGTGAAACTTCAAAATCAATACATAAGGAATTCTAGTTCATCCATTTGACATTTTTTCAAATAAAAGAAATTTAGTGTAAATCATTGCTTGCATATAAATTGGAAAATACAATACATATTATCTATGCACAAACACCAAATAAGGTACTTTTGAATGAAAGAATGGATATGGTCAGATGTATGACATCGATATTTTAATATAAATGTCAAATCAATTGTATGTATACTAATATTTAGATTTCAGTATTACTATTTAAATTTTAATGAAAGTATGAAAATGTAAAGTCTTGCAAATAGTGTTATTTTGTCAACTTAATTTTCTTTGTAAGGGCCAACCAGATACCTCAGTGGACTGAAGTGCTTAGGCAGAGCGCATTGGCCAAGGTTTCATCCCCCACTTGCCATGAGGGTCCCACTCCTGGGGCACACTGTGATGGCGATTGAGACTTGGCATGGTGGTGTGCACCTGTAATCCCAGTGTTTGGGAGGCTGAAAATAGAAGAATCATTACAAGTCTGTTCTACATAGTGAGACCCTATAGATCCTATAGACCCCATAATAAAAATACAAATAAAATACTTTTAGTTGTAGTGTTCCTGAGCAATAATTTATCAAAATCATTTTGAGCATTACTAAGTGTGCTTTCTCCCTTTCTCTCCATATATAATTCTATGACTTATCTCAATTTATTCATAGCAAATCCTGTAAAGGAAATGTTGTTCACAACACTATTTTATGGATCAAAAACCAGAGCCTCATAGAAATTAAGGTCAAGTACATAGTAAAATGTCAAGCTGAGAACTGAATTCGATGTAGACATTGGTTACAAAAGATATTAAAACCTTCATTATATTGTAATGAAGTAACTGGCTTATTTCACTATATCAAAAAAAGATAATTTCAATTTGTAGTGTACAAAATCAAAGGTCATACTTTGAGTGTAGTTATGTCAGGTTAAAGGGAAAATTTTAATGTACATTTTTAAAAATGGGTCTTTTATTTATGCTTATATATAATCCATTGCTTTTGACATTTGCCAAGGCTACCTGTTCGATAACTGGATGGTACATTGGGATATATCATGAGTCTGTGCAATGAACTGTGAGGTCACAAATAATAGTCACATTTCTATAATCATCTTAATGAGAAAATTTCACAATTACTTGCAGTTTTTCATGAATAATGTATGTATAAATATAATTTTATACTCATAAATTTAAGTCTCTTGCTCTTAATTAAAATTTATATATTTTTATATTTATTATGCTTTTTCTCCCTCAAATGTTGATGGGAAAGTAAATAGGGAAGTATACTTGTTATTCTAGAGAATCCTGAAGAAGTCATAAAAGTCTAAATCAGAGTGTCACTAGAAACAAATACATTACAGGAACTGTATGTCAGTGCAGGGTCTGTGGAAGATTGAAGTTTTCTCTTCTTCAAAAATATATTGTAGTTTACTTTCTGAAAAACATGTTTTGAGGCTGTTAAAGTTCCTAAATAATAACATGATTTGAAGCAAAATTATAAGTTTATGTTTGATTCTCAAAATTGTTTAAAAATTGATGGTGATCCTCATGCAAAAGGAAAATAATGTGCATTTTTAAGTAAATTATTTTAATAAGGTCAATTTTTAAAGCTTCAAAACAGTCTTAAAGCCTTCAAATCCTAATTATTGGGGGCACTTTAGTTGCCCACATTTCTGATGTAAATTGTATATCTATAATCATAGTCTTGCATGTCAACAGAGTAATTGTCAGCTTTGCATATTAATTTCTTTAGAAAAGTCCTCAGTGATGGTAAACTTTCACAAGTTTAATGATACAAACATCCTCCTCTAGTATGCATGTTATAGGTTCCCCACCACTGAAAGTTGAAACTTAAATTCTTTATCAAACACATGAGAACTAAAAGACATAAGCATTCACCTCATATCTTTTGTGAATTAGCTAATTTCAGTCGCTCTGTGTATCTACTTCTAAGCTCTAGCAAATCTCTTAAGGATTTGCTTATAGCTAGAACTTAGTCAATAATTCATTTGTTCAAATACCAAGTATAGACTGCTTCAACCGTTTCTGTACACCTCTCATTTCTTTGTGACTTTTCTTGCCTTTTTTAACTCTAAATTATTCAGGTCTTTCTCTTTTATTGAATTTATCAAGTTGATGTTTTTGCAAGCAAAACCTGATCATAATAAAAAGTATATACTATGCATGAGCAAACGTCTAAAGGATACATTTTTAAAATAAAATTTTAGAGTATATTTTTGCAAGTATGAAAATTCAGGCTAATTTTACCTTTGGAAGTAACCCCACATAGATTCATAGCACTTTATTGATTTAAATGTTTAAATCTGTTAAAACTGAACAGCAATAACTGAGTAGTTAATTAATCTAAAATCAACTAATGGCCATAGTTATAGGATAAACTTAATTTCTAGTTGTGTCTCCTGGCTAAGCTGAAGGAAATATTGGTATTGAGAAGTCTACTTCATTTTTTTCTGACCTACATCCATGTGACGAGGCCTGCATTTTAAAATCTGAATTTGAACTCTTTATTGCATAGATTTGAACCCTCAAATTAAATTGACTAAGACAGCACCACATCAAATATTACAAATTTATTATATATTAGAATTTCCATGGTATTACATATTGCATAACAATAAGACAATCAGTTACCAACAGCAGATGTGGCAATTGAATCTTGGTAGCATCAAATGTTATGTTCCTAGATTTTATTTCCTATTTTTAGACATTTTATTATTAACAGTTGCTTTTGCTTTTTTTTCCTTCATAGTCCTTATACACAGACTTTTTGATTTTTAAAAATTTTAAATTTTTTTTGTTTCTATAATTTTATTGAGAGACAAATAGCAATGAGACAGTTTCAAATCAAATTGGTAGAACAGTCTCAATAATTAACATGTTGCATACTCTCTTCCTAGTAGTTATTTTCTGTACAAGATGCAGACATGATATCTTATTTACAAAAATCATTGAACAATTCCCTCTATTCATTAAGAAAACATAACTATATATGTATCCTAACAATTTTGAATACATAGATACAAAATGGACATTCATTTATATATCTCCTTTTTTGTTTAGTTCCTTCACTTGATTATTAGAGGTGTGTTAACTCAGCAAAATACTCTAAAAGAGTCCAGTAATATTGGGTCTTCTGCTGGACTGGCAGTGTCAGAAATTGTTGACCTGAGTCCCCTACAGCTCAACATAATAAAATGCATTACATCTTATACTTCATTTTTATACTTTTCTGCTGGATGGTTAAAACCAGTATGAAGCAAGACCTATGAAACAAGAGTTGTAGCTTTTGGATCTGATAAGGTCAGTCAAATCCCCTCAGGATTTATCCTGAGATCCTGTACCTCAGATTGTAGATCCTTTGTCAGTGTCAGCCATGTGGATGAGTCACGGCCATTGCTTGGCCGATGTGCTCCCTGTGAAAGCCTGAGAGAATGTTTTCTCTCCATGTGACTCTCCTTAGGCACACTCTACATCGATCACTTTGTTCTTTGGCCCCATAATCTCCTTAATCAGAAAATTTGGGACAGTACTGAGTTAGATGATGTTACAGTACAAGATCTCATATGTCCTGAGTCTTAATTGACCTTAGAAGGCTAGGGCCAAAATGTTGGCTTTCCTTGTGGCCCTCCTTTTTCTCTAATTTTGGTTTGCAAATTTAGGTTGTTGACCCTCCAGAAGAGTAGCTTATTGGAATGTTGCAGAATTGTCCTGTTACAAGGTTGTATATGGTTAGATTTCTGGACTTATGTGTAAACATAAGAATTATATAATTCTTTATGCCTATTTTTAAAATATATTTTAATTTTTAAATGTTTTTTCATCATATTCTATAGGGACTTAAATTTCAACATATCAATACTTGATGAAAAATACCTGTTCCATGTTATGCCTAAGATGTTTGATATTCAGACAGATAGTGAGGTTAAGCTTAACAGCCTAAATTGTATGGTAATAATAATTCCTGCTTTTATGTCCTTCATACATTATGCCACTCATTTCATATAAATATTAGAATATCAAAAATGTAAGAAAATAAATAATCAGAACAGTTTTATGACAGCATGAGGCTATGACCTTTTCAGACTGCAACTCTAGAAAGTTCTGTTAATTGTTATTTCTGTTAATTCTGTGTGCTCAGTGTGCAAGCAGATTTATTATCTTTGATCTACACTTGTCTCTCTTTTGGGATCTCAGAATTAGATCTTTAAATTTTATACAACAGTCTTTTAGAACAGGGTTTAGAAAAACATAAGCTAAACATATTACTTTCTCTTTCAATATATTTGTCTAGTGGGTTATTTAATTGTCCTCTCAACACAGTTTGATAATTTAATCAATGTTATGTTATCTAGCAAAGAAAGACAGCACTACTAGTTTGTCTTGATTGATAAGAAAGTTTTAGATATTTGTTTCTTCCATGTAAAACTGTTGTTGGTCTATCTTTTGAGAAACTACTCAATTACACACAGTGTATTAACTTTTGTTGCTCTCACTATTTTGTAATAAAATTGAATTTTTCATAAAATAAAAAATGGCAGTGTTTGATTTAACACAGAAATTCCAGTATTCTAATCCCTTTGAAGAAATATGAAACATTGCCTTTTTGTTATTTAGGTCATTCTTATTTTGTAATTTGGTGAAGAGGTATCACTTGTAAGTCAGTTATGTACAATCAAGTCAGCATGTACTAGGGCCAGCCAGAGAGCTAAGCTGAGTAAAGCACCTTCTTATGCAGGAGCAGGGAACAGAGTTCGATTCCCTGACACCACATGCTGCACTAGCCCTGTCCCGGGGGCACAATGAGAGGGCCACTGAGACTGGGTGTGGTGAAGCACACCTGTAATCCCAGCCCTTGGAAGACTTAAAACAGGAGGATCACTAGGAGTCTTATCTGTGTAATGAGACCCTATAGACCTGTACTAAATACATTTTTTAAAAAATGTTAGTATGCACTGTCAGGGACTCCTGCCGTGGTTCCCCAGTATGTTGCAAGGTATTAAGGCACACTGCAAAAAGTGAGACAAAATGGTGATACAGTGGGGAACTGGGATGAACAGTTGTTCATGGGGAACAAAAGTACACAGGACTTCTAGAGCCTCAGTACTTATCAATTACATCTGAGTCAACTACAATGGGTGAAGAAGGGTAGTGAATGTATTTTGAAGAGTAATGGTGATAATGGTGAGCTAGGAAGCTTTTTTTTTGTATTTTTAGGGAGGGATCTACAGGATGTTCAGGGTCTCATTACAAGATCAGACTTGTAGTGATCCTCTTGTTTACAGGTTCCCAAGAGCTGGGATTTTACAGGTGTGTGCCACCACGCCCAGTCATAATTGCCCTCTGTGCCTGCTTGCAGGTGTTTTAATCCATTAAGCTATTTGGCCGGCCCTTTGGTGAGCTAGTAAAAACACAACATTCTTGCAAAATGAGACAAGGGGCAATAAAGATACTGTTATTTCCTCTAGAAACTATTTACTATTGATATTATGTTGCTTTAAAGATCCTTATTATCTTTAGCAATCTTACCTTACCCTATAAATGCCACAGTATCACTAGTGTTAGGGCTTCAGCTATGACCAGAAGAAAGCAGGGAGTTTCTATGATATAGTGTGTTTCAAAGGGCAGGTCAAGGATGACCACTGACATCCCCTAGACTCAATTTATAATCCATGATCCCCAACAATGACCTAATTAAAAGTGTAGCAAATTTATATTATCTATTATATTCTAACTAAGAATAAAATAGCACTTTGAACAAACGTGAAGATACAATTTTCTTTTAACCCTCTATAATAAACAGCATTTTATGGATTTTTTATGATCAATTATCCGAATTTAAAACAGTCCTAAGAAACTTCCCTTCTATTATTGGAATTTAAGTTTAGCAACAACACTGTATTATATTTCATAAATTTTAAACTAGGACAATTCATCTGAAACATCAACAATGTAATGGAGAAGTATATGATATCTGTAACCAAATAAAAGCTTGCTGTGCTTTCAAGGCATTTTTATTGTAAGTAAACATATATAGAACATTTTCATGCAGAGTTTTGCAGGCTGGTGAAATCTGAGTAAAAACAATAACCACATTTGATCTCATTCACATAACTCTGAGCAAATTATCTATTACATGTGATAACTTTTGATGATAAGGGTAAATATATGGCACCCAGTTTTACATCCTTAATAGGACTTAGTCTGTGATGTGATTCAACATTTCAATTTTCACTTGAAATTCACTCTAACATTTTGGAAATTCTATGCAGTGATTAGCACCCAGGCTATTAGACAAATGGATTTCAAACAACTATGAATAAAAATTAAAAGCTTTACATTAAAGATTATCTTTTATGTTGTTATAAATAACCTTATATACATTGCAATATGTGGCACTTTTGAATCTTGTTTTTGCCCTAATTTTATTCATTGTAAAAGCACAAGAATTTTTAATAAAATCAAAAAGAATTTTAAGAAAAAAGATAAAAATGTATCTTAAATATCAACAACAGAAACTTTTATAACTGCAAAGTATTTTGTTATAATTATTAATGTTGTGAATGAAATACATGTAATTAGAATAATTGTGTTATAAATATTTATCTTCAAATAGTTTCAAGAATGGAAATTCTACCTTTATGGAGTAGGACTATATCCCCAGCCTGCAGACACAGCAGAAATGACTGCACAACTTGATGTTCAGTCGTCCCTCACTATACCTTTCAAAAATCCCACTAAGGAAGCTGTTTCTATCAACATATTTCTAGCAAGTAAGTGGCTTTTTTCACATTTTTAATGCTATTTTTAAAAAAATAATCAAACTTACCTTAAAATATAATGAAAATATAGTGTTATAAATGAGAAAAATATGTAGGGACATATGAAATATTGTTATTATGGTGGAGAATGAATTAAAATTAGGTATTCATGTTCTGAATTAATCTCTTCCAGTTTTTTTATTGCTTTTATTGAGAAACAAATAGCAATGAGACGGTTTCAAAACAGGTAAGTAGGACAGTTACAATAATTAATATATTGCACATTGTTGTTTTCATATTAGTTATTCATAATACAAGATGCAGACATGATATCTTTTCCAAGTACTATTAGTACAAATCTTTCTTCTCATTGAATTGAAAGTAGCTGTATATCTATCTTAATTATATCTATATCTATATCTATATATTTCACTACAAAGTGGTCCTTCATTTATATCCCCTTTTTATTTACATTTTTTGGAATATCCAAGATATAGGTATTCCACAGCCATTTAAATATTGTAGGTGAAAAACACCTGTTCCATGTTATGTCTAATATGTTTGATATTCAGATAGTGAGATTAAGCTCAACTTCCTGTTATAGGGTAGTAGTATCATTAAGCTTCTCTTCTGGAGGGTTAACAACTAGGCCAAAATATTAGAGAAAAAGAAGGGCTACAAAGACAGCCAACATTTTCCTCCTAGCTCTTCAAGGACAGTGAGGACTCAAGACGTACGAGAACCTGTACTGTAACATCGTGTAACTCAGTGGTGGCCCAAATTTTCTTATCAAGGAAATTGTGGAGCCACAGAGGAATGTGATCAACAATGTATAAAGCACCTAAGGAGAGTCACATGGAGAGATAACATTCTCTAGGCTTTCACAGAGCAAATTGGTTGAGCAATGACTGTGACTCATCCACATGCCTGACACTGACAACAGATATACAAACTGTGGTGCAGGGTGTCAGGGTAAATCCTGAGGAGATTTGACTGACCTTGTCAGACACAAAAGTTACATTTCTTGTTATGTAGGTCTTGCTTTATCTTGGTCTTAACCATCCAGCAGAAAAGTATATAAACGAGGTATTAAAAGTAAAGCAACATTAATATGCTGAGCTGTAAAAGGCTCCAGTCAGCAACTTCTGACATTGCCAGCCCTGCGGATAACCCACTATTATTATGGACTACTGGACTTGGATTATTTTGCTGAACGCTTCCTTTTTTATCAGTATATCTGAGTTCTCTATAAAAGTTAGACAATGTGTAAGATTCTTATTATTTAACTAAATATACAAATTCTTGTTCTTTCAATATTTGCAGAAATTTTAATATTATGGCTTTGTTTTCTTATTATTTTCTTGTTGAACACATTAGAATTAGATTTTTGTTCCCACCAACCTTGTCCCTTTTTTTTTGTCATTTTGGATGCATGCTGTTTAAACTAAAGAGTGTTAAGATCTTTTAAACTCTTCATATTTGCTATCTAAATACTTTGAATCCAGAGAGAAGACTTGAGGGCCATTTTGTGAAGAGATGGAGAATGAGCAGTTGCTGCTGCATTGCTGACCTCAAGCAGCGGTCAACTCCATGTAGAGCCTGGGAGCAGGAGATTTGGAATCACATCTCTTCTCTCATCCCTCTCCTGGTTTTTGTCACTTTCAGAAACTTTATCTTCAAACACGATGGCTAACAATGTTACTAACAAGACAGATCCTTGCTCCATGCATTCCCCTGTGTTCATTGAAAATCTTAACACTCTTGTGGAGGCCATCTTGTTGAAGCAAAATTGTGGATTGCTCCATTCATAACGGCTTTGCCTTTGTCAAGTATGTTATTGAGAGAAATACCTGGTCTGCTCTAGCTGGAGAGGATGGCAGAATGATTGCTGGCCAGGTTTTAGATATTATTCTGGCTGCTGAGCCAAAATTGAACAAAGGAAAAGCAGGTGTAAAACTATCTGCAGGGGAAATGTATGGGTCAGTACCAGAACACCCTTCTCCATCCCCTCTACTCAGCTCATCTTTTGACTTGTACTGTGACTTTCAACTTGATTAATATGACAAGATGGACAGTTACCCAGTTAGTGTTCCTCCTCCACTTCCTCCTCCTCCTCCTCCTCCTCCTCCTCCTCTTCCTCCTCCTATTACTCAGGCTGTAGTGCCCACAAAATGCCAGCGCATATCAGGAAATATCTCCCAAAGATGCAAAAGTGGCTTCAATTCTGAGTGGCCAGCGGAGGTCTTCGTTCAAGTCCTGAAAATGGAAAGGTAATGAAAGTTGAAAGGCCATTAAGAAGGAGCTAATCCAGATAAAACAAAAAGTGGATTCTTTACTGGAAAGCCTGGAGAAAACTGAAAAGGAACAGAGCAAAAAAGCAGTGAAGATGAAGAATGATAAGACCAAAGAGGAGCAGACCACCAACTCCCAGAACAAAGATGAGACTAATTGGAAGATGGAGTCTGAGGGTGCTGCGGATGACTCTGCTGCGGGGGAGGGGGGATCTACTGGATGATGATGAAAATGAAGATCAGGCAGAGGACCAGCTAGAGTTGATCAAGGATGATGAAAAAGAGGCTGAGAATGAGAAGATGACAGAGTGTCAAAGGCGAGGATGACTCCTAAGCACATAGTTTGGTTTAGAAGTGTTGTCCCATTACTTTTTATCTAGCTGCTTTTTAAGATCAAAATTTCATGAGGTCCTCTCCCCTAGTATCTTCAACACATGCTCACTGTTCTTCCTGTGTCCTACCATGTTCACAAGTGCCCTGTGCCTAGTACCATTTTCACTTTCTTTGATGCTCCTAGTAGTTTTGCTGTCTTCTCCTATAATTTTTGTTTTTTAATTTTTATACTTCTTTATGACTTAACAATAAAAGATTGTATGGTTTTTACCAGCTGTCTCCACAATAATCTCTCATTATGCAGACAATATAGTTATTTCCATTTATACACAATTTCAGTAGTTGCTTCCCTAACCACAAAGGCAATCTCATTTAGTGTAGCATCTGAAAGCAGCTTTGTTTGACTTAAGAGTCATGTGTATCACCCCCATCAAGTACTTTGTGGGGCTGTTAAACACAAATGTAACAATATATTTTTGTGACTGAGACTGTGGCAAATGCATCCTGTAGAAAAATTAGTGTAATAGTCATTGTTTTCTGAAGTTGATACTGTAGGTTATTTTTGTGAATGTCTGATGTTTGGGATCTTCTTTCTCTCTCTCTCTCTCTCTCTCTCTCTCTCTCTCTCTATATATATATATATATATATATTATGTATATATGATGGATGGGACAAAATTACTCTCTAGAATGGTTATACCATTGCAATACATATTAAGAGTATATTATAAATATTACCTCCTGTCCTGAATCTTGTAAATCCTGGGTAGTAACATTCTTCTTAATTTCCATTCATGTGAGTGGGAAAAATTATATAATATTGTCATTGAAAATTTATTATTTTTTCATAAATGTTAGCAATGTCATTCATTGGTTGGAATTTAAGTCTTTCCTGATCATTTCATTATGGCTTGGAATAATTTTTAAAATTAAATATATCATGTAGTATCACATAAAGTTTTTGTAACAATATGAGATGCATATGGTATTTTGTAAAGGCTGGCTTTAGGATCAAGGAAATCAGCAGTTTAATACAGACACCTGATAGTCCACCTGCTTAGGTCTGCCGTCCACATCCGCATGATCCCTGCCTGGCACTTGCCATGGCTCAGGTTCTCAGAGCCACCATGACTGACTTTCCTACATTTGATGATTGGGCTGATGCAGAAACTCTTCAGAAGGCCATGAAAGGCCTGAACACCAATGAAGAGACCATCCTGACTCTGTTGACATCCCAAAGTAATGCTCAGCACCAGAAGATTGAAAAGGACTTTAACACTTTGCTTGGCAGGGATCTTCTGGATAACTTGAAATAAGAATTGAGTGGAAAATTCAAGAAATTAATCGTGGCCCTGATGAAGCCCTTTTCCTCTATGATGCCTATGAACTGAAGCATGCTGTTAAGGGAGTTGGGACAAATGAAAAAGTTCTGATAGAAATTATTGCATCAAGGACACCCAAAGAAGTAAAAGGCATAAAAGAAGTTTATGAAGTAGAGTGTGGCTCAAGCCTGGAGGATGATGTGGTGGGGGATACACCAGAGGATGTTAGTGGTCTTCCTTCCACTCAAATGTAGCACGCTTTACTATGCTATGAAGGGAGCTAGGACAGATGATCATACTCTCATCAGGGTCATGGAGTCCATGAGTGAGGTTGAGCTGTTTAACATTAGGAAGGAGTTCAGGAAGAATTTTGCCACCTCTATTTATTCCATGATTAAGGGGGACACATCTCGGGATTATAATAAAGCCCTGATGCCTATCTGTGGAGGACAGCACCACTGATGTGTTTCTTGGGAGTGACTGCCCAGACCAGTTCTGGCCTCTGCTGCTGCCACTGCCTTCCCCCACACTTACAGCTCAGCTCCCAGACACCAGTGCCTTGCTAACCAATGTGCTCTCTGTGAAAGGCTGAGAAAAAGTTTTCTATCCATGCAACTCTCCTTAGGCAGACTCTACATCATCGATCACTTTCCTCTTTGGCCCCATAATCTCCTTGATCAGAAAATTTGGGCCACTACTGAGTTACATGACGTGATAGTACAATTCTTATATGTCCTGAGTCTTAATTGAACTTGGAAGGCTAAGGCCAAAATGTTGGCTTTCCTTGCAGCCCTCCTTTTTTTCCAATTTTGGTCTGCAAACGTAGGTTGTTAACCATCCAGAAGACAAGATTGTTATTACCATACAACATAGGCTGTTAAACTTAACCTCACTATCTGTCTGCATATCAAACATCTTAGCCATAATATGGAACAGGTATATTTCATCAAGTATTGATATGTTGAACTTTAAGTCCCTACAGACTAGGATAAAAAATATTAAAAATTAGAATATCTTTTAAAAATAGGCACAAAGAATTATATACTTCTTATGTTTACATATAAGT